AACGTTTCGACAAGGTTTTGTCATCACCTGATGATGACAAAACCTTGTCGAAACGTTGTACATTTGCTGTTATGTTAAACTTATATTAAAGTTTTTCTTATATAACTATCTTGGCACCCCGGAGTGCAGTCGAGGTAGTCAAACATCGGTAAATTCCTTTGTGAGCCAAATAAAATTTAGACCATTCATGAAATGAATTCGTGGCGTATTCATTGAATAATTATTGGTAAAAATCAGTTAGATTATATAGTTATATAGAAAAGCCAGTACGTTTTGGTAACACTACGTTCCAACAATGGTTTTTATGTTTTTTACCAAATATTGTTGTTAGTCTATGTAGTGAAAGTATAAAACTAGATGTAATGAGACAACAAATCTGGAAAAATATTTGTTGATTTGTTAATTTAGAGTCTCCGTTAATTAGAGAGGTTTTTTTTATTATTATCAAAAACGTTGCTGATATATCAGAAAATATCTTAATTTCAGCAACGATTTAAGTTTAAAATTGAATCGATATATTTACTTTCATGATAAATTTTATGCAGTTGACTAGGTGATCCCACATTACCAACACTCACTACACTTATAAGGTTTTATGATACCCCCCCCCTTTCCAACCCTGTCACTAAAATCGTCATGGGCAGACAGAAAGTAGGCGAACTATTCTATCTGGATAAATGCATTTTGGCCTTTATGACTCCTTCTATTTCGAGAAATCAAGCGTGACGTGACACACACACTGGCTTATTTATAGGTTAGAATCGTTAGATTTTTTCGTAGTTCTACTTGTTGTTTTCTTATGGCATTCATGTCGATTTATTAAATTGCTTTTACTGTAATCATCAAAGTTGATATTCCAACGGGTTTTATTTCGCAAAACAAGTTGTTGTTTTCTAAAATATTAAACTGCTCGTAGAATGAGGTGGCACAGGATTTATTACAGCTTTAGAAATGTTTAACGATTCATGTTTTTACGTGATGTGCACTAGTTTTGTGTCATCCAATAACTTTATTGCAGTTTCTGCCAAGTGAGGCCGACAGTCTAGTGCAGGGCTGGCGAACCTTTTTGAGAGCGTATGCCCAACCTGTCGATAATTTTCGGAAAAATTCTTTTGCGTGCCCATGGAAATTTGGAGCAGCAAAATTACTGTTATTATTATTAATTTTATGTTATAGTTCATATTTACGGTAATGGTTTGCACCAATCACTGGACCATGTATGGCGAGCCTATGGCACGCGGAATTCACTACTGTCCCAAGTTTTTTTTACCCGACCAATATATGTATATATATCTGAAGGCGTAGAGATTATATATGTCTATAATTAAATATTATATTAATCATATATAAAATGTTTATAATCCGTAGGAGCGCTATAAGATTGATGGCCATATCACACTATTCGGTAAAACAAGGGTAGTTTAAGAGTTGATTTTGAATGCTGTTAACTACTCGTCTTCCCGTAAATATGAACTATACCGTAGGAGCGCTATAAGATTGATGGCCATATCACACTATTCGGTAAAACAAGGGTAGTTTAAGAGTTGATTTTGAATGCTGCTAACTAGCAACATGAACTATACAAATATGAACTATACCGTAGGAGCGCTATAAGATTGATGGCCATATCACACTATTCGGTAAAACAAGGGTAGTTCAAGAGTTGATTTTGAATGCTGTTAACTAGCCGCCTTCTTCTGTGTCACTTTTAAATTAGGAAAAGCTAGCGCAGATAATCCTCGAGTAACTTTGCATGAAAAATTCTAAAACAAAACTGTTCAGGTTATTATGAGTAACATTAAATCCAACGTGGCCTACGTTTTTTATCACGTGGCGAATGACAGCTTGAACTGTGATGTCTGTCATAAGAACACTAAAATGTTGCTTAAAATATCAGGAGAGAGTTAGCCCTGTTGCGTCAGCGAGTCACATGACCACCGTGACGCAACGTTTCTAGAACTATCATGTACTTTGGCGAATGTTCAAGTTCTTACTAGAAATAGGGTACGCTGGTATATAAAAGAAGGTAATGTAATGTGTGTGTAGACAGTGAGTAATTGAACTGCAGTCACAGGGTATTGTTGAAGTTAACGTTCGTTCGTGATACTGTTTGTTTTAGCGCGAATATTGAGATTAAGTGTATCGCAGAGTTATATTCGGAAAGAATAAACCAGTTTTATAAAGAAAGGACTTGTGTCGCTTAAGTTTCGTCGGAACGAAGTTACAGAAAGTTAATTAACAAACGGAGACGTAACAAATTGGTGTCAGAAGTGGGATAAAAAAAGAAAAATGGAAACGAGAGGCGGAAAATCAAACTACAGTTTAGCAGATTTGATGGCAGCAATACAAAAACAAGAAAAGAAACAAGAAGAACGAGAAAAGAAACAAGAAGAAAGACAACA